AAAATAAGCAACAAAAAAAATGAATTTCTAATAAAAATTATATAAATTTTTTTTATAATTAAACTTTAAATAAATTAATCAAAATATTGATTTTTTTTTCTCGTCTTAAATTCTTTCTCAAAACTTTTTAAATGTGACAACGCTGGTTTTCCATTGAAGTTTTCATATATCTTCCGGACAAAAAAAATGAGACCAAGTTTTTTAAGTTTTATTTTCAAAATAATAAATGAATGATAAAATTGTTCAATAGAAAATAAAGAGTAAAGCCTAATTTTTAAAATAATATATTGATCAATATCATATGTTCTTGGACCTCAATGCACTTTTGAACATGACGGTTCATACCAGAGGTGTGGAGTTGTTATAAAAAAAGTAACAACTCTGACTCACACTCCTGTTGTTGAAATTTTTTGAGTGCAACTTTAACTCTGACTCCAAATCCGACTTCAACTTCAAAGCAAAATTTTTGAAAAACTCTTTGAATTCTTTAAAAAATATTACGCGAAAATTTTTTGGACAAATTTATGAAACGTTCTTTGAGGTTTAGTATGAACATCAGGTTAATTAAATGTTTTGTACATAAACATTCAATACCGAGAAATTTTACTATTGGAATCGGGGTCGCGATTTTGTTTAGCGAATGGGGTTTAGATCTGGTGAATTAAAGGGCCCAGAAGAAACTTTCCATTTATGTTCTGTAAACCACTCAGAAACTGATTTTGAAGTGTGGCACGCTGCCCCATCCTGTTGAAATGTAAAACTCCTTGGGAAAAGAATTTTTAGAGTTGGCTCAGCTTCAGAAAGTATTTTTTTGTATTTTTCACTATTCACAGTGCCCTTGATTATAAGCAATGATTTTTTACCTTTGGAACTAATTGCCTTCCAAAACCATGAGACTCTGTCTCATGGTTTGGGGGGCAAAAAAAAGTCATTGTATGACTCGCCAAAAATTGTAAAAATACAAACAAAAGTTTTGTATACGCGGTCTCATTTTTTTTGTCTGGAAGGTATATATATGTATATATATATATATGTATAATTTATTAGAAAATTACATTGTTACTTTGTAGGACTACCAATACAATCAAGATGGCTTTGCATTTACGAAGAATAAAATCAACTAAGTTGATGCAAACATCAATTGAAATTAAATGTAATATTAAATTGATTTTTCTGAATATTACATGATTTGTAAGTGAAAATTACAAATTATAAAAAAATTAGAAATTACAAGTGAAAATTACTGAAAATTACATGATTTGTAAGCTTGATGTCTAATATTTGACAGTTAACATGTTCCTATAAATAATCAATAGCATCTCAACTAAATCAGTCAATTAGAACATCATGCTGTCTTACAAAATGAATTTCCATTTGAACTGATCTTGCCATCAACTTTTTTACATGAGATATTATACATTTCTTATACTCCATGACCTCAATTGCTTATGAAAGAAGCTTTTTAATTATTTCAACAAAGTATTTGTTGACAACATCTATAAATTAGTAAATTTTTTTAAAAATGTGGAATACTTGAGTATGTCTGTAAATTTTTGAGCTCATTAAATTCATTAATTTTTAAGTAAAGTACTAATTAAATAATCAATATTCTTTTAAAACTTAATAATAAACATGAAAATCTTTTATTTAGTATATAATATGTCGCATTTTTTGTTGTTAAACATAAAAAAATCGAAACGACAAGAACTTTTTGTAATTTTGGAAAAAAAACCCATCTGAGCATTAACTAATTCATTATTACAGCCAATATTTTGGTTCCCAATTTTCTCATAATCTCATGTTTCAAAAAAAAATAATTTTTTGAACCAAAGTTTTTTATATTTAAATTTTCCATAAAAATCTTTTAGAATACTTTTTAATATTATTTTTCATAATTCAAACTTTAGAAAAGTATTTAAAAGATGAATTGATAGTTACTATCAAATTGGATATATATTCACCTATGTTAAACAAAGACAAACAAATTTATAAAATGAAAGTTTGTTTATGATTAAAAGAACCAGGAGAAAACATTTTATAATAATGAGATAAAAGTACAGTGTTTCAAAATCAATAAGAATCAAAAATAATGTTCCAAATTCAATAACTCAGCCTTTTTTTAAAAAAAAATTTAGCAGAGTTTTTGTGTAATTTGTATTGGATCTTTTCATATTATGAAACAAAATGAATAACTAAATTACCTATCTATTGCCCACTCACACACAAGTAGTAAATCATTAAATCGAAGCAGTGAAAGCATGTCCCCAATAATCCTTCGGTTCCTAGCTAAAAATAAAATAATATTTTGATATGCAAAAGAATTATAGTTGATATTTAATTGTTATTTGTGTATTTACTATCCAAAGCATAGGTGCTGTAGTAGTTAAAGAGATTATTTATTTTATCTTTTAACTTTCAAGATTTTTGACTTAAAAAAAAAGAGAAAGGATTTAAATAAACACTGTTTAAGTGAATGACATGCAATCTTTTATTATTTATTAAAAAAAAAATTTGTTTTATATCTTTTAACTATCTAACATTACAAACTCAATGTCACAGCTTCTAAATGTGTATGTTTAGTAGTGTGTTTGTGCATAACAACACTTCATGCATTAGACATAAAATCAGACACACTGAATAAGCAGAAATGTTCAATTACAATTTTTTCTAAGTTCTGGTCAAAAAATGTGCATGTTAAAAAGTAAATGGACAGATGAGGAGAGGGCTGAGGCTATTTAAAAACTTAGTTTAATTCAGGTTTAATTTAAGACTTAATTCTGATTACGAAATACTGTATTAAAGTAGTAAAGTACTGATTATGAAATACTTTACAATAATACAAACTAAAGTACATCAATATCTCTATTTTTATTGTTTTTGATGCATTTTGAGCAAATTTTGTTGTTCTGATTTTGTAACTTCCCCATGAGTACCCACTTTTTTTTCTTCCTGAAATCATTGTAACGAAGTCTATTATATTAGTTAAAAAACTTATTAAAATCATAAACTTTTACTAAATTGTATCTAATCATTAAATTTCTCGAAATTTGGAAGCCTACCATTTATAGAAACAAAAAAAAAAAAATATATCTTTTTACTTCTTAAATTATAGATTTTTTATATTGACCCATTAAAAATTAAGTTTTTATATTTGCAAACAACATTTTAGGTTTTTTTGGTAGCCATTATGGATAAAATATTACAATTAACAACTAAATGTAGGGTTCAGAAAAATTTGTATGCGCAGATATTCGTCGATAAATTGTGCGCATACAGTCGCATAATTATGTGCATAACTTTTATTCGCTTTCAAATCATTAAAAACCGTTAAATTGTTTTGACTAGACAGACAGACAAAAAAGCGAGTTTTAATTCTAGTTTTAATAAAATTTTCAATTAATTTTGAAACAAAAAAATGATCAGTTTTAATAGTGATATTAAAAGTTAACAACTTTCAATTCCTTTATTAAATCTCTTTAACTAATGTACTTTTATATTTGATAACTTTAAGTTATTATTAAATTAAAGAGATAAGTAAAACAATAAAAAACTCAAAAATTTATACTTTAAGTAGACATTTTTCAACAAACAGAAAGACAATGAAAAACTTAACAATAAATAGATATTTAAAAATCTTGATACAGTAAAGAGAACTGGAACTTGCATTGCCTGCCAAAAGACAGTTCAATGAGCAAAAAATTCGCAGTCGCAGAACATAAAAGAACATCATGTCCAAACACTAGTGAAGATGAGAAACGATTGTTTGCAAAACAAAAAGCCGAATCAACTTCAACAACGACATTATAATCTTAGCTGAAACTTACAAAGTTGCCAACAATGCGATGAATCATTAAGAATTAAAAAAAGAAATCAATATGAAATTAGCAAACTTCTTTTTCAGAACTGGAATATCTCTTCGTCTTGTTGAATCTGAAACTTTTAAGGATTTGATCAAAAACTTAATCCATCGTATGCACCATCAATACCGTGCGCAAAACGCTGTCAGGTTTGCTTCTTGATAAAAAGTATGCAGAATACTCTGCTAAATTGGAAGAAACCTGGAATCATTTGAAAATTTAACGCTCGTCAGGTATGGGTGGACAAATATTGGTGGCAATCTTTTAGTGAATATTTGTATCAAGGCACCAAATACAAAACTGTTTTTCTATACTTCAATCAACACATCGGGCATAATTCAAAATGCTGCAGCTGTTGCTGGTGCTATCATTGAAGTTATCAAGACTCTCAGTCTACAAAAGTTTAGAAGCATTATTACTGACAACACTTCAGTAATGAAAGCTGCTAGGAACCCTAACCCTATAACCCTACAACCCTAATCCTAACCTCAAATATGGGAATTGCCTATATGCTGAAATCAAAGTATGCTGCAACACTGACAGAAAAAAGATAAAAGACTTAAAATTAGCGCAAAAAATTATTGGAACATTGTTGGTCATCAGAAATATCCAGCAGTCTTTGAAGTTGCAAAATCTATTATTGAAATGATTTGTTTGTCAGCAACAGCAGATAGAACTTGGCCAATTAATTGATTTATTTATTCATGATTGAGCTTGACAAACAAACACGTAAAAAAAAATTAGTTTTCATAAAGAACAGAAAACTGTTTCTGGCATTACATTTTTTATTTTCCTAAATATATAAAATGAACTTTCTTCTTAGCGCAATTTGATAAAGTGAAAAAACAGTTAGATGGTTTTAATGTTACTGGCTCATTATATCATTCATACTCATATAGTTCATTATATCATTCATACTCATTATATCCTTCATACTTGTAAGCCAGAGCAAGTTAAAAAGTTGCTGAATTTACTAAATGCTCTTTATAAAAAGGTAATTATTTCTTTGTAGCAGGAATAACTTTAAAACTGGTGGAAGGTTTTTTTAATTTTTTTAAATTTTGTCACCATAAGCAATATTGTATTCCAAACTTTTAAATCCATTATGAGATTTATTCCATTATAAAAATATTGTAAAACTTTAATTTGAGAGTCTCGCAATGTACAAAAATATTACACCTTTAAGAAAATTGTTAAGGTAAAATCACCTTTTAAAGCAATAACTAGTATATGATGGTAGTTTTTTTATATCAATTTTGACAGTTGGATTATTTATATCATCTTTTTGTAAAACAATTAACTCTGGATCGTAAAAAAAATATATGTATATTTGAAATATACTGCACAAAGCAGATTTACTAAAGTTCATAGATAAAAGTAAACTTCACTAAAGCTTATTTTAAAGTCTTCAGTTTAATATAATTTTTGATTACATAATCAAAATATTTTACTTTTATTTCTAAAATTTTTGAATTCTTTAAAAAATAAAAATTATTTTTAGTGAAAATTTTTTTCAAATGTTTAAAGTCTTTTCTTAAAACTACAGATAAAGCTAAAGAAACAGATAGGCTTAAGAAACAGATAAGTTTAAACGATGAAATAATTTTTTGTTTACACAAACGGTAGAACCTAAGCCTCGATTTGATACGTGGACGTTTATCAGGTCTATACTGCAGTCATATTTGAACTAATTCTATAAAATAAAGTTTTTATTTAACTCAATCTGTTAAAACAATAATAACTCCAGGATACCCCATACCTATCATGCATACCTATCATAGATACCTATCAGCTAAGGTACATCAATGGTAGTGAAAGATGTATTGTATGCTATTTTCAAAAAATTAAGAAAGTGGTAATAAAATGAATGTTTATAAAAAAAAACACATAGAACATCTAATATCATTAAGTTAAAAAAATATATATTGTTACAGAACTCATTATGAATCTTTTTTTGATAAGGTCTACAGGAAAGTTCTGTCCATTTTCGGAACAAAATAAAACACAAATTTTTGAAATCATCTATAAATTTATTAAATAATATAATTGCCATTATTTTTAATTAAAACCAACAATATGCTAATTTGTATATTCCATTTTTGAACAATGTTTTATTCTTTGATTCAAAAATTGAACCAGTGTTTGTTTGATATCTTCTTCATTTTCGAATTTCTTGCCATTCAAGAAATTTTGTAAGGACGAAAACAAGTGATAGCCAGAGGGGGCTAGTACTAAGTACTAAGTCCAAATATGGTGGGTGCGACATAATTTCCCAGTCTAGCACTGCAATTTTTTGACGAGCACCCAAAGCAGTATGCAACCTGGCATTATCATAATCCAGTATGATTCCTTTCCTATTGAACTTTGCTGGCTTTTTTTCTTGGATTTTTGTCTTTATATTTAAAATTAAAATTGCTCAAAATACTTCTGAACAAAGCTTTTCATTTGGTTTTAAAAGCTCATAATGTATTGGTCATTGAATGTCCCATCATATACAAAATATTCTCTTATTCAGTCAAATGTGATTTAGATGTGGAAGGGCTAGATTTTTCAGGTTCACAATATGATTTTTTTCTTTCAATGTTATTGTAAATAATCCATTTCTCATCTTCAGTTATCATCCTGTTCAGAAATGGCTCGGTTCTGTTCTGAGCAAGTTGAGATGTGCATATGATTACTTGTTTATCCAAAATCTTATGACTTACATCATAAGACATCTTTAATATTTCCGAACTAATCCTATCTCTTGAAAATGGTCTGCTGAGCTGATTTAAGTGTTTCTGCAATCTCGGATGTTGTCAGAAGAGAATCTTGTTCCAACATGTTCTTAATAATGTCATCATCAATCAAAGATGGGTGCCCAGAACGTGAATGATCAGAAAGGTTAAAATCACTAGTTTGAAATTTTTGGAACCATCTTCTATGTCTTATTAAAAACAGAATTTTCAGCAACCACTTTCAATCAATTTTTACATGCATTCTGAAGTATTTCTTCCTTGTTAAAATTTGAGTAAAATACAGTGATATAAATGAACTTTATCAGTAGCCATGTCTACAATATTACTTTATAATGAAGAGAGACAAAATAAATTTGTTTGAGTTAATTTGCTCGGTCTATATAAATACTTTAAACAATAAAAATAAGCCAAACATAAGCTAAATAAACATGAACTTAACGCGTCAAAAAATTGTTTTTATAGAAACGGACAGAACTTTCCAGTGTACCTTATATATAAAGGAATGAAAAATACAATTGAAATATACCACCTTCATTTATATATTTATCTATTTTTATATTATATTTAAAACTTGATGGTTGTTAAAATTTAGTAAAATAACCTCGGTTTTGTGTTTCAACATCTGCTAACAGAGTAATGTTTTTATTTATTAGCTGAAGCAATGTTCCATTCTGGTAAATAGTAGCAGAGAGCTCAAGAAAGAAAGACTCTACTGGTTGTCGGTTATTCATTAGAGATAAAAAGTAGACAATAATCTGAATAAAGGCACCACATCTCAATCTCGGAATCTAAAATATCATTAAAAATATTATACATACATATATATATATATATATATATATATATATATATATATATATATAATAGTTATATATATACATATATATATATATATATAATTTACAATATATAGATTATAATATATATAACATATTATAATAAATATATAATAATGATTATATATAATAATTATATATATATATATATATATATATATATATATATATATATATATATATATATATTTATATATATATATATATATATATATATATATATATATATATATTTATATATATATATATATATATATATAAATTATAATATATAGATTATAATATATAAAATATATTATAATAAATATATAATAATGACTGAGAATATGTCCTTGGTCCACTATATATAAAAAAAATGCAAAAAATAATCAAGAAACTTTGTAAACATATTGCAGTTGATAATCAGCTTACAGCTATGATTAAAAATAGCCATATTATATAAAAGTGAATAAAAGTGATTTTTACCTGAAGTACTAAAAAGTCATTTATTAATATATTATTAATAAATTACTTTTTTTTAATTAATTAATAAAATAACCAATATCATAGCAATAACAACTGAAAAAATAAAAATGTTGCAAAAATCGTTGCTTGATGTAGTTTACTTATATTCACTCTTTCTTTAGTATATGGAGTGTTTAACATATTCTAAGTAATGTTAAACACTTCATTTAGCAAATTAGTGTAAAATTTAAAGATGGAATATTTATTTTGTTTTAATTGTCGCAGTCTTACAACAAAGATGAATTTGGATTGTATTGAGATAATGGTTTAGTATTTTAGAACCAAAGTGCCCAAAAAATTAAAAAGCACTTAAAAAATTTTAAAAAATGATCCATCAGCTGTACTTTTAAAATTGGTAGTTATCTGGACTTAACGTTAAATCTTAATGACAGTTCTTACCAACCTTACTGGAAGCCTGATAAATAAATCAGTTATATACATGCTGACTTAAACTATCCAACTAACATTGACAAGGTATGTCAACCAATTATTGAAATTTAAATATTAAAAAAAAAAAAAACATTTCTCTTCATGAAGATGCATTAATTAAATCAGGTTTAACTAGCAAACTTGCTTAAAATTAGAATAAAAAACCAAACCTATTTAAAAATCACAAACAAAACATAATCTGGTATAACCCACTTTTTAAGTACTAATGTTGCAACAAAAATAGGCAGTTGTTTTTTGGCCATGGTAGTTTGATCGGCAAGATATTTAATCAAACTACAATTAAAATAAGCTACTTGTGTATGACAAACATCAAGTGCATCATTAATTCTCACAAAATCAAGATATTATATAACCAAGGTACAACTGAGAAAAAAACATGCAACTGTGTGTCAACAAATCCATCTGTCTCATGAACAAACAGTGCTTGATAAAAAACATCATTTATCAAGCCACCGTGTTGTCAAATAAACCAGACTACATAGAAAAAATATATTTTGGTTTATGTGAAACTTCCTTTAAAAACCGCAAAACAATATGCACTTGATTAAAAGGATGTGTTGTTGCTAAATAAAAACCATTACTAAAATTAAATTAAATTAAAAAGTTAAAAGATTGAGATAAGCAAAAATACATCAAACAATTCAACAATGTTCACATGTCTTTCTCTCAGATGAATTAAAATTCAAAATTTTATCATCTCAATCTCATCATCTTAATTTCAGCATTTTGATATCATGATCTGAATTTCACAATCTTAATTTCATTATCTCAATCTCATTATCTCAATTTCATCATCTTAATTTCATCATCTTAATTTCATCATCTCAATGTCATCTTAATTTTATAATCTCAATTTAATCATCCTAATATCATCATCTTATCCTAACCATCTAAATCTCATCACCTCAATCTCATCATCCCAATTTCATTATTTTGATTTCATCATCTCAATGTCATTATCTTAATTTTATAATCTCAATTTAATCATCCTAATATCATCATCTTATCCTAACCATCTAAATCTCATCACCTCAATCTCATCATCCCAATTTCATCATTTTGATTTCATCATCTCAATATTATTGTTTTAATTTCACTATTTCAATCTCATTATCTCAATCTCATCATCTCAATCTCATCATCTTAATTTCATCATCTTTATCTTATCATTTCAATCTCATATTAACCTTATCATCTCAATTTTATTATCTCAATCTCATCATATCAATTTCATCATCTCAAAAGTTTGTGGCCTTAGGCAAATGGGGGCATTATGAATAAAATAAATATAAAAACTATGCATTTCGGTGCAAAAAAAATTCTGGGTTGCAAATTTGTTTTTCAATAGGATAACGATCCTGAACACACTTATATACACATATACACATATACACACACACACACACACACACACTAGGGTTGTAAGATTTTCGCAAACTCATACAAAGTTGAGTTTTGGTATAAAAACACTAAAACAAACATTCATTTATGATTTTATCTTTAAAATCTCACCCAGGACCTAAAAACCCAGAACCAAAAAAAACTGCTTTGGAAATAATGCGACAGTAAAATTTAGATAAATTTTTATTTATGACTTCAATATAAAATATGCTTCAGAAAATAATAACAGTAATTTAAAATTGAACAATATAGTAAAATATAATTACTTGTTTGATAAACTAAACTTAAAGTTGATTTTTTCGTCACTTTTACACCTTATTTCACGCATGATTTTAATCATGCAAGAAATAAAGTGTAAAAATGATAAAAATTCTTTGCGCATGAATTGCTGCGTTATCTCTATTCTAATGCTTCCTAAAAATTGTTTATGCTTTTGTTTTTTTAAAATTTTATTTAATTTTTTATAATTGTTTTCTTTAACATCAAACCAAGTTCAACAAAGCAATTCACATATTTCAGCAAGCAGCTCACATCAATCTGGAAGTAGCAGGAAAACAAGTAAGGAATATATTGCTTTAAAATTCCACCTGCATTTGGTGTTTTTAAAATATATAGTCATTTTTCAGACTTGCATAATTGTCACTGACTTCATGCACAAAATCTTATGATATATTAGATGTTGTCTTTTTTAGTTGGATCAGTACAACCACTCCAGTAGTATCATAGCTTTTCCAAAAATAGCTTAACACCTCAGTTATTCGATTAAAGATTGTTAATGCCTTTCCATCACTAAAAGTTAGTACTGCCAGGCGAAATTCAGGGTGCTGATTTTATAATACAATAACTTTCATTTCTTGCTTGTTAACTTTCTTACCATCAAAGTTCAGATCAATTTTCATTTTTTAGAGTTTCTTCAAAAAGTTTCTTTTGCTGCCTTTTCTGTGATTCTCTAACAGATGCCTTATATATTGCAGATTGAGTGGTGTCAATAGCTTGATCAAATAGCTGTTCGCAAACTCTTGCTGATTTAGAGGAACTTAAATTAGTCTTATTTACTAGATGGTTTGCAGTTTCTGTATAATGCTTGGAATAATGGTCTTTTTTTTAACAGGAGGTTTTAACAGTATATTCACAGTCATTAGAATAATCATCAGAAGTTTCTACATATTCTGATATATTGAAAGCAATTTCAGATTCTACATTTCTATTTGAAGAAGAAAAACTACATGTTTTATTGCTTGAGGTATTTCCTCTGTTAACTTTAGATGAATGTAATTTAACTTGTACTGTAGTTGCATAGTTAATTATTCCTTGTGATTTAACTTGCATTTCATAAAATCCTTTATCTTCAGTTGCCAACCAGATGCCTATCTGTTTTTGTAATACCAAACACATTTACAAATTTAACTTGAGCACATTCCTTATGGTTTTTCAAAAATTCGTAATTTTATAATTAATGCATCAATCTTCCTTGCTATTGATTTTTATGTTATGAGTGAAAAATTTAACTTTTCCCACAAGTTTTTCAAATTATCAGCTATCCCTTTAATTCTGACATTTCTTGATTTTTCATCTTTTGAAAGAAATTGTTACCTTTCAATAAATTTCTTTTCTTTTGGCATTCTAGACAGGGTTGGAAAAAACCCAGGGTTTTTTAAAAAAACCCAACCCAAATGGGTTTTTTTGGGTTTTATGGGTTTTTTGGGTTTTTTTAAAAACCGATCAAAATACCAAATTTTTATAATTGTATGAGTACAATAATTTTTTTTTAAATTTCATAAATTCACCTTCCTATTGCTCCAATGACCACTTCAGTCAAGGGAGCAACTCATTTTTTAAAAATATTTTGTCTCAAACCTTAACATTACCATTTTTACTAACAAACAACATTAACAACTAAAATTTTTAAACAAAGACGCTGTGCGCAGAAATAGATTGAGCACAGTAATTTCAGCAGAGGTAATTTGAACCCCAACCTTCTGGTTGCGAGCCAAATGTTTTACTACTCGTATACTAGCACTTTTTACCTATAGTGCAAAAAGGGACTCCATCAACTATAAATGATGTTAATTAATTGCACTAAATTAAAAATACGTTCAGAATATTTTTGACTAAAAAAAAATCAGTATAAAAATTATTATGACAATTGAGTTACTCAAAGTTGGTAAGACAATATAAATGTTGCAAACTAGTTTTTTTTACTAACATGTTCAACATATCATTTCAAAAACTATTTTGCACAAGTTTACAACATGTAATCAACAAGTTTGCAACATGATGTTGCAACCTTATAAGTTATTATGAATCAAGTTGACTATGAACACTTTTTAAACATTTTTGTATCATAGAAGAAAACTGCTAGCCTAGTCACTACATTTTTTTTTATAAGAACATTATACTGTCCAGTTTCCTGAAAAAGTTATCCACCTGATCAACTGGACTGGCAAAAAATAGATTTTTGCCTAAACTTTAGTTGTTCTTAAAGTATCTAAAATAAATTTGTTAAGAACCATTACAGTGTCTTTGCCACCAAGTTTTTTTTTTTCCTTGAAGATGTTTTACCGGCTCAGTTTTGCAATGCAAATTGCAAACTGAATCAAAGTAACACATTATACAGCTCTATTGTGTGTGTTTCTTCACCTTTTAGCAACTTGATACTGATGTTAATTTTCAACCCGCTGTTCATAGTCACCCTTGTTGGTGGTACATGTTGT